GTGTGTGTGTGTGTGTGTGTGTGTGTGTGTGTGTGTGTGTGTGTGTGTGAACAGATTTATTCAGGCCAGCTGGAGTGAAAACATAAAAAGGGATGAAAAACCAGGCAACCAGAATTAAGACATTTATTGCTGTGTATTTTTGTTGTTATAACCCAATTTATAAGATCCCATCTTTAACTGTAGGTCTTAATACGAGGTGCTTTGTTCATGATTAAAGACACGTGTGTGAGTGGAAGCTGTAAAAAGAAAACAGAAAATACTGTGTGTGCTGAAGTTCAATTAAACTTGGTAAGGTTTTAAGATGAAACGCACATTTTCCAGTGGGTGAATACAAGTATTTTTTTTAATATGATTTAATTTAAAATTGTTACGTTTTTAAATTGTTAGCAGCACTGTGGCTCTAAAGTACATACTAAATAAATAAATAAAAATGGATTGTTTAATCCCTGGGAATGGAAACACACACTTAAAAACTAACAAATTCGGATTAATTTACTAATTTGTCGTGCACAGAAGTAATAATTTACAACATTCAATGAAATTCCTGCTGTTCACATCTCCCAACTCGACATACAACTATTAAAATATAGACTTGAGTTTATGTTTAAATTATTACCAATAACAAGAATGTAATTCTGCAATGACGTGTTGTTTATTTGTCATATGCAGGTTAACACAAGGTCAACAGTGCAATGAAATGTTCAGGATGAGAAGAACCGATTCGACAAAACAAAAACACAAACAAGAAATCCAAAAGCGTTCAATAAGGGCACGGAATAAAGACCAGAAAGTGAAAAATAAATATAATATTTACAAGGTTCTAAAGAAAAATGGTAAACAACAACATGGTAGAATGTAACTGTGCAAATAGGATGAATTTGCATAATTCATATGTGTTGTTGTTGTTGTTGTTGTTGTTGTTGTTGTTGTTGTTGTTGTTGAAGAGGGTTTGCTCATATTTTTGACTTCAGAATTTGTTTTTCAGCCAAATATTTGTTGTTTCTGTATCACAGATTTATCAGTTTATCACAAACCCACATATGTTCTGCAATATACACACTTTGAGCCTTCACACACACACACACACACACACACACACACACACACACACACACACACACACACACACACACACACAC